CCTCAGATAAGGCAGAGATAGCCACTTACATGGAACTCTTAGTAATGGCCATATGCCCAGACAGAGACTTTGAAGCTATAATTAACACTTTAAATTTACACGAACACATCAAGCTTTAAAAATTAATTGCCCTCCATTTATGGATAGTAGTTGTCCCCCTTAATTATTTGAAATTACAGTCCTTAATTAAGAGATGTAAGAAACATTATTAAATGTCTGTCACATAACACTGGAACTCACTGAATGGCTATATTTCCTGAACCCACTTGCTCAAAATAAATACAGGGAAACTTTGTTCTAACTTTTCTTTTTAATGAGCAAGAGTTAACCAGTGCCACAGCTTCCTGGTTAGGCACTTTGTAGGCGGCAGTACTTTCAAGAAGTAAATTATTAGGTGGTATTTAATAAATTCATGAAATTCTCTGAATGGTTTAGAGATACCTAATCTCTTTCCAGCTAACTTGTTATTACTTTCAAGAGTCTTAGAAAACCTGGGAAAAGCCGAAACCGGTTTGGCTCAGTGGATGGAGCGTCGGTCTGTGGACTGAAAGGTCCCGGGTTCAATTCCGGTCAGGGTCATGTGCCTTGGTTGCAGGCACATCCCCAGTGGGGGGTGGGGGTGGGGTCCAAGAGGCAGCTGATCAATGATTCTCTCTCATCGATGTTTCTAACTCTCTATCCCTCTCTCTTCCTCTCTGTAAAAAATCAATAAAATAGCTGAAACCGGTTTGGCTCAGTGGTAGAGCGTCGGCCTGCGGTCTGAAAGGTCCCGGATTCAATTCTGGTCAAGGGCATGTACATTGGTTGCGGGCACATCCCCGGTATGGGGTGTGCAAGAGGCAGCTGGTATATATTTCTCTCTCATCGACATTTCTAGCTCTCTATCTCTCTCCCTTCCTCTCTGTAAAAAATCAATAAAAATATATTTTAAAAAAATCAATAAAATATATTTTAAAAAGAAAAGAAAAAAAGAAAACCTGGGAAAAGCCATGATCTTTAAAAAATTAAGTTAAAAATACTTTAAGTTTGATATATGTTATTACATTTAGAAAATGTTGTATTTACATGCACAGATGTCTGTGGATGGTGGGATTATAGGAGATTTTTTCCCCTGTGTTCCTAATGATACTTTCCAAATTTTATACGATGAACATATATGGTTTTTATAATCAGAAAATGCTTCCTCAAACAATTTTGTTTTAAAACCAATAGGTGGGACAGAGCAAGATAGTCATACGTGCCAAAGGGCAGGCTGGCTAGTGATATTCAGGCCTAAGCAGGGTGGGGAGAGTGTTCATGGGGATGAGTGTGCAGCCTGGCATGAAAAGTCAGAGCTCATATAGAATGAAGAAATCTGTCAAGCTGAAACCGGTTGGCTCAGTGGATAGAGCATCAGTCTGTGGGCTGAAAGATCCCAGGTTCGATTCCGGTCAAGAGCATGTACCTTGGTTGCAGGCACATCCCCAGAAGTGGGTGTGCAGGAGGCAGCTGGTCGATGTTTCTCATCGATGTTTCTAGTTCTCTATCCCTCTCCCTTCTCTGTGTAAAAAATGAATAAAATATATATTTAAAAATAAATAAATAATTTTTAAAGAAGTCTGTCATATGTTAGTTGGTAAAGCAGAATGAGAAAGGCATCCACATGGGCTAAGACCTGCATCGGGTGGAAGGCACCCATCAGGGTGGTACCTGATACAGGGTGGTGAAGCCTGAGTAGGATGAAGGAGATGGCCATGGCTGTAGCCAGTCTGGCTCAGTGAATAGAGTGTAGGCCTGCAGACTAAATGATTCTGGTCAAGGGCACATGCCTGGGTTGTGGTCTCCATCCCCAGTAGGAGGTGTGCAGGAGGCAGCTGATCAATGATTCTCTTTCATCTTCCAAAGGTTAAGATTATGAAACAAAGATTAAGGAACTGTTCCAGACTGAAGAAGACTAAAGAGACATGTACTAAATGAAACTGTGATGCTAATCTAGATCCTTTTACTATACATTTTTGAAACTGGCTAACCTTGAATGGAGTCTAGGGGTTAGATGGCAGTATGTATTAATATTTCCTGCCCGGCCATTGTGGCTCAGTGATTGAGTATCAACCTATGAACCATGAGGTCACAGTTCCATTCCTGGTCAGGGCACATGCCCAGGTTGCAGGCTCAATCCCTAGTAGGGGGTGTGCTGGAGCAGCCAATCGATGATTCTCCATCATCATTGATGTTTCTATCTCTCTTCCTCTCCCTTCCTCTCTGAAATCAATAAGAATATATTTTAGAAAATATTTCCTAGTTTTGACATAACTATATTGAGGTTATGTAGGAGAAAGTCCTTGTTTGTAGGAATTACATACTAAAATATTTGGAAGTGATGGGTCATCAGGTTGACAATTTACTCTCACGGTTCAGGAAAATATTACTTGTAATTATAGGTAATTTTTAAAATTTTATTTTTCAATTACAGTTTACATTCAGCATTACCTTGTATTAGTTTTCATGTTATAGGTAACTTTTAAGTTTAAGTGTGTTTCAAAATTTTTAAATTATATTATTTTAAACTAACAGGAAAATTATATATTTTTATTTATTTTATTTTTTAAAATATATATTTATTGATTTCAGAGTGGAGAGATAGAAACATCAATGATGAGAGGAATCATTGATTGGCTGACTCCCTCCCCCTCCCCTCACTTCGCCCCCCCTGCCCCAGGCGTGTGCCCTTGACTGGAATCCAACCTGTGCCCCTTCAATCCACAGGCTGACACTCTATCCACTGAGCCAAACCGGCTAGGGTGGAATGTTATACATTTAAATTTAAAGAACTCTTCTTACTACCTGCCCATAATACTCTTTTAAAGCATGCTTACTCAGAAAAGCATTTTACCACATAGTTTGAAATTTAAATCTGTACTCAAGTTGATCAACCCCATTATTGTCCCTTAGAGTTGGTGGAGGAGTGAGTATAGGGAAGATTTTATCGTAATTGTTTTAAAATTTGTCTTCAAATTCAAGTGGTCAAAATTATTTCTCTTTTATGAGCTGCATAAGGTATATCACTGTTGCAATAAAAAAATTTAAACATTTATATTTTATAAAGCAGTTTCACAACCATTACCTGATTTTGTCCTACGAGTCACATTCATTCAGCAAAGAAAAAAGTAATTATTGTATTGATTTTGATTTTATAGTTCAGATATTGAAGAAGACACTAGGTCACTACTTTTTCAGTGTAGGAGTCAGGATTCCAATTCAAGCAATATATAATAACGAGTCCTAACTAAATCCTGCTGCCTTAAACAAGGAGTCGTAACTTGCCCATGACTATGTGATCCCTCAGGGCCTTTTTTTTTTCTTTTTTTTTTTTTTCCATCAGCAAAATGAAAGTGTTGAATTCTGCAATGTTCAAGCTCCATAGTCTTAGAATTCGCCCAGCCGGGTTAGTTTAGCGATTGAGTGATTGAGCATCGACCCAGGAACCAAGAGGTCACTGATTCTATTGTGGTCAGGGCATAAGCCCTGGTTGCACTGGATCCTCAGTAGGAGCATGCAGGAGGCAGCCAATTGAGATTCTCTTTCATCATTAATGTTTCTATCTCTTTCTCCCTCTCCCTTTCTCTCTGAAATACATAAAAACATATACACTGAGTGGCCAGATTATTATGATCTCCGAATGCATAATAATCTGGCTACTCAGTGTATATTTTAAAAATCCTAAAATTCAAGTCATTGATAATAGTAAAAACCATGAAATGACTCATATCTATAAAAGTACATAACTTATGTGGGGTGGAAAAACTATAAAACTTTCCTATGGTTTTTAATGACTTTGACTATACAGATTTGTAAATGTCTTAATTTTCTTTTCTCCAATTTCAGATCCATTAATAAATAGAATTCAGGTGTGACAGTGTAGTGCTTGTGAAAAGCAATTGATTCAGGGAGGCTGTGACATGAACAATTCTTCTCCCCTCTCCTGAGATTTTGTTTTGTTTTGTTCTGTTTTTTTTTTTTGTTGTTGTTTTGTTTTGTTTTGTTCCAAGGAACCCTTTGTTCTTTTTAATGAGGGTAAAGACAGATGTGTTTGAAAGAGACTTTTCCTCCTGTTAAATGAATAGGCCACTGCTGCTTTGTATAGCTCAAGGCAGTCTTATGGGAAACAGGCACTTCCATGATTTTTGTTTGGGGTTGTGGGTGCATTGTTGTTGCTGTGAAGTTATATTTGATTGGTCTGAATTGTGCAGCACTAGGCATGATATCTTTCTCTTCAACATAACTGCTCATGAGATCTTTTTTTGGGGGGGAAAAGGAAGTTAAAAAGGAGAAGGAAAGACCATCACAGTGAGTGTTTAGGCAGTGAGACTGATTGTTTTCAAATTCATTATATGCCTAGTAATGAAGATACCTTAATAACAGAGAAAGCAGCTCCATTATCTACATGCTTCTATTAACCAATTTATTTTGTTTAGATCAGTGGGCAGGAACACCATCTGTTAGAATTTTTTTTTTTTTTTTCATCAAGCCTGTCCTCATTAAGAGTCTCCAGTTAAGTAACTTCAGCTGCCCTTCTGTTTAATTTTCATAGTAACTCAATTCAGGGGTATGTAGAGAAAAGAGCAGCTAAGAAGATATTGTAAGTTGTACCATGCCCTCAGAGGATTTAATTTAGTCACCCCTTTAGCAAGAAAAATTAGTGGGAGGAGTTTATGTGTGTAGGGAAAAAGGCTGAGGAGAGGAAGGGGCAGAACTGATGATGGATGAGGCTGCTTTAAGGAAATTGTTTAGTAGGATTTTTTTCCTTTTTTTTTTTTTTTTTCCTGATAGCTTTTTGGTGGACTTTCTGTTGTTCTAAGATCTCTTGTTTTAAGAATAATTTTCCATAATATTCTTCTTTCAGAACTATGACCTATACTTACATATTGGTATATGTTTATATAAAATACAATTATACAAATGTTACTGCAAATGTTGACACTGTGACACTGAAAGAGTTTTAAATTTGTATTCTTTCAAAGGTCCATGACTCCAGCTCAAGCTGACCTGGAATTCCTTGAGAATGCCAAAAAGTTGTCTATGTATGGTGTTGACCTTCATAAAGCAAAGGTAATAACTTTGGCCTTTATTAACATGCATGTATCAGACCTGTGCCATATAATACTTCTCACCAACCTTTATCTGGGGTTATTATTATAAAACATTCTAAAGAAAGAAAAATTCTTGTTAGACTTTTAAGTCTATGAATTGAATCAATCAAGTGTATAAAGTATTAAAATGAATTGCCCCTTTGTAATTCCACCAGTAGAATTCAAGTTTCGCATCCAAGTTATCAAAATATTTAACACCTAGAGCAAAAGAAATTGTTTTCCTAAAATACAGATATGTTTGAAAATGTTGCATGGCATCCGCGTATGTTTCACAGCCAATGGGTTGCAGGTTTGATCTCTAATAGGGGAGCTGCAGGAGGCAGCCAGTCAATGATTCTATCTTGATGTTCTCTCTCTCTCTCTCTCTCTCTCTCTCTCTCTCTCTCTCTCTTTCTCTCTCTGAAATAAATATATATATATATATATATATATATATATATATATATATATATATATATAAAAAGTTAATTGTGCATTCTCTTGCAATCCTGTTCCACTCAGGGGATGTTGGAGAGTTTTGGTTTTGGCCTGATCCCTGCAGGCCAGGCCGAGGTTACCCCACCAGTACCTCCGTGCACCTCTAGTATGCATATATGATCTTTGGTTAATCTCTTCTCCCCCCCCCCCCCCCCCCCCCCCCGCCGCGCCCCCCCCCCCCTTCCCTCTGAGATTCATCAGTCTATTCCATGTTTCTATGCCTGTGGTTTCTGTTCCTGTGTTGAGCATCTGCCCTCTGGTGGTCAGTGTGTGTCATAGCTACTAGCGGCAGGTCACTTAGGCTTTATATCTATACTTATAATAGCCTAGGACCTTCACGACCTAAACGACCAGATGGACAACCAGTCACCAGAAAGTGCATGGTGCACCTCTTGGTCCCTCCCCCACGGAGTAACCATTATTACTGATTACTGTTAAAGAGTGTGGGAAGAGAGGGTAGAGTTTTACTTTTATTTTACATACTTCTATATTTGAATTTTTTACATGCATGTATTAGTTTAGTGATATATAAATGTTTTTAAAAATTCATGTTTATTATAATTGGAAAATATAGAAAGCTAAAATGAAATTTTTCTTATAATTGTACCAATTAAAGAATACCATTGTTAATGTTTTGCTATATTCATCTTTCTTCTCTCTCTATATTTTTTATATTGTTGTGATCAAATATATGCAGCTTTTACCTGCTTTATTTTACTGAACATTATAACAATTTTCCCGTTTATCTCCCAATTCTTCGTAATTATTTTAATGGTCACATCGTATTGCACCAAAGGATGGGCAATAATTTAACCCTGGAGGTTGGGTGCTTAGGTTATATCCAATTTTTCACTCTTAAAACATTCTAAATATTTTCATATATAAAGCATTTTCTGTGATTTGAATTATTTTCTTGGAATAAATTACAGAAATAGAATTACTGTGTCTGATTTGGACATTTTAAAGATATTTGTGATAGGTAAAATATTGAGGGGTTTTTGTTTTTAAAGTGGTAGAGTAATAATATTTTTATTACATGGGTTATTATTGTTAGGTTAAGCTTTATTATTCATGGTATGCTTTGTAATTCTTCTTGGTTGTTGATAGCTTCAGATTCTCTAATTATAGTCAGCAGTGTGATAAGCACTTTGCTCAAAACTGAAATGCTAATGCTTCTCTTTTCCAGGACTTGGAAGGAGTGGACATCATCCTAGGTGTCTGCTCTAGTGGCCTTCTGGTTTACAAAGATAAGCTGAGAATTAACCGCTTTCCTTGGCCCAAAGTGCTGAAGATTTCTTATAAACGTAGCAGCTTTTTTATCAAGATTCGGCCTGGAGAGGTATAGAATTTGTGTTTCTTCTCAAACCTCCTCCCCCTCCCCCCTACCCCCCCATCAAACACATATCATGTCTAAAACATCTCTTTGCTTCCTGTTTTTCTTGTTCTGTTATCTAAGAGGTCTCTCTGTAGTTAATTATGCAGGAGCTGTTAGTCTCTTTTCTCAATCATTCCTGTAATGCTGCTTTTCCTCCTTGTTACTGGTTTTGTGGGCTTTTCTCTTTAGGTAAGTAAATATATCATGGCCAAAAGTGAAACTTGCATTGATAAACTTGTACCTTGTTTACTTCAGGTAAAATCTTCATGGAAAATAGTTTTAAATTGAGTAGCATGAGATTTTTAAATTGTGAAGTTTAAGTTACTCATGTTTTGTACTACCAATCTCTTACTCATTTAATTAAAATGTTTTTTTATGTGTAGTTTCTAGTAGTTACTGGGAATATATTCCAGGCTGAAGTTCTAGATTTTTAGTAGAGTTGTTTAACTTTGTGTCAGATAATTCAGTTATTAGTTGGTGGGCAAATTTCAGGATATACTAATGCTGACCAAATTTAACTTTTATATTAAATAGTCATTATGTATAGAGAAAATTGTTTAAGTAGGAATTAATTTTTTTAAAAAGCTCTACCTCCTACTCTGCCACCAAGTAAAAGACCCTGGAGAAACCTAAGACTCAACTTCTTTATCATTCAAGGTGGAAAATACCTTCTCTGTCAGGGTTGATTTGAAGATCAAATGAGAAGACGGTTGCAAAAGGTCTAAGCTGGAAAACAAACTAATGTAGAAGAGATTTTTTTTGCGTGTGTTTATATCACCATCTGCTGGTGAAAATGGCTCATTATTTGAGCATGGAAATACTGGATGTTCAACCTTAAAAATCTCATATGATCATTGAAGCATTTATTTAGTACCATAATTATTTACCTGTGCCTTTCACAGAACAATCTCTGACTTCTGTCAAAGAGTTTCAAACCAAAAGTCATTCAGTCAACATACATATTGAGGGTATCTGTTGTGCCATGCACTACTCTAGGGGCTAGGAACAGTGAATAAAAGTCCATCTTTTTTTGTGGGAAGACGCACATACACACACACACACACATTTTAATAAATTAGTTATTTGGAGTTTTTGGTTTCTTTAAATGTCAACTATATAATATACACTAAAAATGCAGAATCCTTACTTTAAGAAAGCAATCAGGAACACAGTAGGATTTCAATAAGTATACTATTATGACTATAGCAGATGATTTGGAAGTAGAATGGCTTAGTGGAAACCAAGCAATTCTGGTTATGCCACTTTATAATTGTGAAACTGAGAAGTAACTTGTCTGACCTCAGTTTTTTCATGTGTAATATTATCTAGTCATAGCATATTGGCAATAATAGGCACTAGAAATAAACATCAGTTTTCTTTCCATCTTAAAAAACATGCTTAAAGCAGGAACAAAGAGATAAGAGACTAGCAGAATATGGTTTGCTTCAAAGAGGTATCAAGATAAATTAATGATCAATTAAAGGAAAAAAGAGAAGGCAATTAATAATTCAAGAATTGGTTTGATCCAAAATCTTTCATCTTTAAAAAAAAATTTTTTTAAACCTCACCCAAGAATATTTTCCCATTGATTTTAGAGAGAGTGGAAGAGAGAGGGAAAGACAGAAATATTGATGTGAGATAAATATTGATTGGTTGTCTCCTGCATGAGCCCCGAATAGGGCCAGGGCCGGAGAGGAGCCTGCAATGCTGCAGCCAAGGTAGGTGTCCTTGACCAGAATCAAACCTGGGACTCTTAAATCCGCAGGCCGATGCTCTACCACTGAGCCAAACCGGCAAAATCTTTTTAAAAATATATATATTTTATTGATTTTTTTTTTTACAGAGGAAAGGAGAGGGATAGAGAGCCAGAAACATCGATGAGAGAGAAACATTGATCAGCTGCCTCCTGCACACTCCCTACTGGGGATGTGCCCGAAACCAAGGTACATGCCCTTGCCCGGAATCGAACCTTTGACCCTTCAGTCCACAGGCCGATGCTCTATCCACTGAGCCAAATGGGTTAGGGTAAACCAGCAAAATCTTTCATCTTTAGCTCCTATTGCTAAAATAAATAAATAAATAAATAAATAAATAAATAAAATTGCAAAATAATATTGTTTGATTGGAGGAATCATGTGCTATCTCATTCCCTGAGCATTAAGTAATCTAGTTTCCTGAGTGCAAATGACTAAGAAAGAGCCCTGTCTGGACAATCAAAAAGTAACTTAATTATGACCCAGAAAAATGTACTCTATATGTGTGTGTTTCTGAGCAAAATAAGATACATAAATAATATAAGATGCATCTCTTGGCTTCCTTGTGGAAAAAGCCACGTCGGTGAGTAAATTTCTTTTTATAAGTAGGAAAATATTTCAAATATTTTATGCCATTAGGAATGTTCTTTTTATTATTGATGACCTTTTCTGTAGCACCATATTTCTCTGGTCTTTATCACTATAGTCAAATAATCCTTTATGTACAATGTTTATTTGTGTTTTTATAGCAAGAGCAATATGAAAGTACCATCGGATTCAAACTTCCCAGTTACCGAGCAGCTAAGAAATTATGGAAAGTCTGTGTAGAGCATCACACATTTTTCAGGTATTGTTCTCACTTCAGTATTTTTCAAGGATAAATTAATTATGCAAGTTTCTGTTTTAAGTCTGCTATTAAAATTCACTTCTTTGAATGACTGGCATTCTTTTTTTATTTAGCTTAAGTAAGACCATCTTAAGCAAGACAAAATGAATACAGTCCTCCTTTGGGTTGAAAAACATGCTTCAGCATTCCCAGAGCACCTTTCTGTGAATGGTAGGAGTAGAAAAGTGAGGATATAGGAACCTGTGTTACTGGGGCCTCTGTGATCGCTCTAACTGGAGCTGAAATCAGTCCTATCAGGAGGAGGTACCCTGACTACCTCCACATGTAATTTCTCTAAGTAGTGCTTAACTACTTTCGGGGTGGGGCTTTTCACTGAAAGATGAAAGCTATGAAGCTAATCATTATCTTGGCGCTAATCAACCCAGAAAGGGAGCACAGAGAACCATCTTTGAAGCTCAAGTGTATCAGATGATCAGAGGAAAGTTTTCTTTCCTCTGGTTTTCAAGTGGCCATATCATTAACCCCCTGTCTTTATTTACCAAGCATGTTCTCTGTGTAGATACTGAAGGCACTGAGTCTATATATACTACAAGATAGTTCTAGTCTCTGTCCTGATAGAACATGCAGTCTAGCTGAGAACACAGACCTTAGACAAATTACTGTATTGAAAGGAGAGTCAGCTTGTTATTGTCAGCTTGCCTTTTTAAGAAAAGTTCTTTATTATGGATAATTGCATACATAACAACAGTAAAGAGACTAGTATAATGCATATCACCCAGCTTCAATAATTATCATCCCAAGGCCAATCTTGTTTGATCTATTATGCCACCCAATTCTTCCCACTACTTCCTAGATTATTTTGAAGTAAATCCAAGACCTCATGTCATATCATTCATAAATAAACTTGACTCGCAAATGGCTCTCAAGAGAGAGAATCATGATATCTTTTCCTTTTAGTTGTATTTTTCATATCATACTTAGTACTATAGCACAGTGGACAGGAAGAAAAGCCAGGGAAAATAACATTTAAATTCTCATTTAAAAATAAAACATGAGGATACATTTTATACACAATTAAAGAATCTTTATCACTGGCTTTAAGATTTTTGTTTATGCTTTCATCATCCTCTTCTTTAAAATCAAACCAATAAAATAGAGTTTTTAAAAAGGGTAAGGATATTTTTAAATAAGAAAAAAAAAATAAAAAGGGTAAGGAAAAGTAAAAAAAAAAAAAATTATTTTGAGTGTTTAGTATCTATGATATAGATTTCAGCTACAGCCAGTGTGTTTACTTGTAGGATAGCATATTTAAATGCATTTCATCAAAATAAGAGGCTTTATTGATATGTAATGCTTCAGTACATAAAAGTAAATCAGTATTTGCTGAATTAAATGGTCCCCAAGGAAAAAATATTTTTTATAGTATTTGATGTAATAATTTATGTTTTTATTCAGCAAACATTTATTGAGTGCCAAATTCATGCCAGGCACTATGCCAGAAGTGAAAACACAAGGTTGAAATAGTGGAAACCAGCACATAAATTGTTTCAATTCAGTGTAGTAAATACCGTGACTAAAGAGAGCACAGGGTACTGCATAAGAAGATGGGGTTCTTTCCGAGACCGGTTTGGCTCAATGGATAGAGAGTCGGCTTGGGGACTGAAGGGTCCCGGGTTCGATTCCGGTCAAGGGCATGTACCTTAGTTGCGGGCACATCCCCAGTAGGGGGTGTGCAAGAGGCAGCTGATCGATGACTCTTTCTCATTGACGTTTCTAACTCTCTATCTCTCTCCCTTCCTCTCTGTACAAAATAAAAAATAAATTAAAAAAAGATGAAATTTATTATTAAAAAAAAAAAAAGAAGATGGGGTTCTTGAGTTGAAAATACACTAAATAACCTATTAAATAGGTTATCAGGCATTAATTAAGTTTGGAGTGCATTTGACAAAATTATTCTAGTAGAGTGGAAAAGAGCTCTGATTTACAATAGCTAGATTTGGAAACAGCCTAAGTGCCCATCAGCAAAAGAGTGGGTTAGAAAACTGTGGTACATCTACATAATGGAATATTACACTACTGTATAAAAGAAGGAATTTTTACCATTTGCAACAGCATGGATGGACCTGGAGAGCATTATCCTAAGCGAAATTAGTCAGTCAGAGAAAGATAAATATCACATGATCTCACCCATTTATGGAATATAATGAACAGCATAAACTGATGAACAAAAACAGAACCAGAATCATAGAAGCATCGAATAGACTGTCCAATTTATGGGGGCGGGAAGGGGAGAAGGGGATAAAAAAACAACCAAAGGACTTCTATGCCTGCATATGAGCATAACCAATGGACACAGACGGGGAGTGGGGACTGGTGGAAGGAAGGGAGGGCATGTGCTAGGGGTTGGGGGCAGCTGGGGAGAGGTCAGTGGGGGAGAAAGGAGACTTATGTAATACATTAAGTGATAAGAAAAAGAGCTGGGGCTTTGTCTCCATTACTGCCCAGCCTCTTTACAGCTATGTGACCTTAAGCAAGTAACTTCTTTTTTGAGGTTCAGTTTCTTCTATCAATAAAATGATGACAATATTACGAGGATGTAGTGAAAATATTATAGTGTTATAAAAGGATTTTGAAAACCATAAGGTCCTTGAATTAAAATAAATGATCCCCAAGGGATATAGAGGTATAATAATATAAGATGATATTAATATGAGTAAGTTATACATATCGCTTGGAGAAATGACATAGAATTTAAATAATGATTGCTTGATTTAAAATATATCATAGTAACTATAAGGAAACCGAAAATTTTGAAACTTTTAAAATCTAGATTTTTGTCTTTAGTCTCACAGTCTCAGTAGAGTGAGATAAAATATATATGATCATTACGGTTTTTCCCCCTAGACTGACATCTACAGATACCATTCCTAAAAGCAAATTTCTTGCACTGGGATCCAAATTTCGATACAGTGGCCGAACTCAAGCTCAAACCAGACAAGCTAGTGCTCTGATTGACAGGCCAGCCCCGCACTTTGAGCGTACAGCAAGCAAACGGGCATCCCGGAGCCTTGATGGAGGTTTGTGTTGAATTTTGGTGATTTCCTATGAATCTAACTCTTTAGGGAGGGATGAAGTTATCTATGAGAGAACCAAATTAAAGAATGTCATTGGTAAAATGAAACGGATCTCACTAATTATCTAAGTCAGTGGAATCATCTTAAGAAAAGAAAAACTGAGGTTCAGAGAGAGTAGTAACTAGATCAAAGTTCCACTGATAGTAGGAGATTGAACACAACTAGAATTAGAATTCAGAACCTCACTGCAGAGTGAAACTTAATATAGTGTATTAAACTAAAGCCTTCTTGAATGTTTTTGTTTGATTCTCACCCGAAGATATGTTTCTGTTGATTTTTCTCTTTTTAGAGAGGGGGGAAGAGAGGGAGAGATATCAATTGGTTGTTTCCCGTATGCACTCCGTCTGGGGATTGAACCCACAACCTAGGCATGTGCTCTGAAGGGAATCTACAACCTTTCAGTGTATAGGACAATGCTCTAACGAACTGAACCACCAGCCCAGGTCTCTCTTGAATGTTTTTAAATAGTTATTTTTTCAACAGGAAAAGAGTCTGCCTCATTAGAGCAATCAGTTAATTATTTTTGATCATTTGTCATGTGGCAATTATATACAGAAAAAACAGTCCTATTACAGGAATCTCCAAATTTTGTTTAAATAAAATAGGGAGAAAATAAGTATGTTTCGTGATTGTATATTCTAACTGAAGATCTTTCTAAGTATCAAGGATTTGAGAGCATTACTGAAATGAAGTATCAAGCCATATTCAGTTCTTTATGCCACTAAGAAAAGGTGGCTAATAAATAAAAGTTCAGAAGTCAGAAAACAAAGTAGAGTATTGTTATATGGGTGCTCAGAGCATCTGTTTCTCTAGCTGAAGAAGTAAAACTGATTCATATCCCAGTTTATACGAGAGTGGTAAGTCACAAGGATAGCTAATAAAGACAAGGATCTTTCAACTTATATTTTTGTTGCCCTTTTTGCTTTTAAAGCCATTTCCATATATTCCTATTTAGTACCAAGAAACATTTAGGAATTCTTGTTTTGCTCATGAGGAAACTAGGGCACAAAAAGTTATATAACTTGCTAGGGTCATACAACCAGGAAGTTCATCCATTCTTCGAGTAGTGTTTGCAGTGATTCTTGCCAGGGGAATACATTCCTATCATTTTTTGGAGCTTTAAAACAAATCCCCAAGCCTGACTCTTAGATGTCTCATCTGTCTATGGTGGAACTGGACAAAAGTCCTTTTTAAGATCCACAGCTAATTCATGTGGAGTCCCTCTGGTAATGGAACCACTGATCCATTGCATATCTATTGTGTCTGTACTAGACTAGCAGAAGCTGTGCTGGTAAGTTACAGAGCTAGAACTAGAATTTAAGTTTCTTTTTACTCAATATGATGGTTTTGAGTTTTACTCTTTACTGTTATAATATAGACTTGTCTAAGTTTCTGTTGTCACAGGGGAGGAATATAATACTGGAATTAATGGGTTCATAAGATTATCACAACCAGCACTCCAGAAATGGGAAATAATTGAATTTTTCAGGTTAAGTGCTCTCTACAGATGCATCAAGGTCTTGTATTAGTTAACAAATGAATTCATTAAACTGAAGAGCCAAAGCATCTTAAAAAGTATTCACTACCTACAACACCATGAATATACTAAAAATCATTGAATTATGCACACTACCTGGGTGCTTTGTATGTTATGTGAATTATATCTCAACGACCACAGTCACTGCCATGATTCTCTGTTCTGATCCATAATTTGTAGAAGTCTTATTGAGAAGAGGAAAGAAATTTGTCTCTCCAGGGCTCCCAGGCTATATTTTTCACTTGAATTGCATATCCATGTATACATAATTAATTTTTGCTCCACATGCTCTTGAAATATTAACCCATAACAAAAGAAATACAAAGACTTAGGTATGATATTAAAAGTTATTAATAGTTAGGGTTTATAAAGTATTTTTATAGCCATTGAATATGCTTTCCCCGGCTATTCTGTGGAGTTAATATCTTCCTCATTTTACTAATGATGCAACTGTCTGCCTCTGTTTCAACTGCCAGTTTCCACACTTTTACCTACTTTTCCACATGCAGTACAGATTGCCAAGGCTAGGCCTGCTGAAGACATAAATCGTTTGGCTCTGCAATATTAGTATTGGATTAAAACCAAAAGCAAGTGGCAAAATAACACATGGTGAAAGCATGGGCTCTGTTTCTGTGATGCCAGTCAGAGTTAAATTAATTCTTTGAGAGGAGGTGTGAATACACATGTATAATGATACTTCAACACAACTGTGTGCAAAATATTTTGTCACATTCCCCTGTGTTGTTAGAATTGTCTACCATCTGCCATTGACTGGCTTAGAGTGCACATGAGAAGCAGGGACTTGTAACAGGACAGAATTTTCATTGAAAGATAAAGTATGTTATATTTCTGCTGTTATACCAGGTGTCCTCTGAGGAATGATTTCTTGCACTGGAGATCATTATAGGATTATGAGCATTTCTTTCTTGGTGTTGTCTATATGAAGTAGTTGTGAATTTTAATTTTTTATCCATTCTGATTTATAGAATTTTTTTTGTTTTACCTAATCCTTACTGTTTATAAGTCTAAATCTATCAGAAGTTAAGTTCCGTATGCTCCACTTAAGAAGGCAGAAACATGTGTAGCACAAATTGTAAAGGTTTTCATGCAAAATAATTTAAAAGTCTCAGTTCATGGAAGGATGAATTGTTATCAGAGATATTAAATCATGTAGAAACACACTGAAATCCTAGACACTGTTAGGTAAGTGAGGTTTTACTACAAAGTGTATAATGTTTTATTTTAGTCTATTTGGAAAAAGGAAGATAAAAATCATAAGAGTATAAATGATTGCTTTGAAATAATCAATCTGAAACTTAGCTGACAAATAATCAAAACCAAAACTCTGAAAAGATCAAGCTTTTTTTCATAAACCTATTTTGAATATTCTCTCTAAAAGGTTAGTTAACCTCAGCAACCTTAGCCTGTACACTCTGTATGCCAGTACCTCCTTCCACTTCTCTTCCCAGTTGTAACAACCAAAAATGTCTCCAGACATTGCCATGTGTTCTGTGGGAGGCATAAATTACTCCTGATTGAGAACTACTGGCTTAAATACATTAGAGAATAGGAGTTATAATATTGTACAAATTGATAAGATTCAAGGAGATGATGGGACAGAACTCAAAAGGTTGGAGGATATTTCTGGTGGGTTTTTTTCTGTTTGTTTGTTTTGTGTGTGTTTTTTAAGGACTAACAGCCAAAAATTTTGAATTTGTATTATTTTAATCACATGACTTATTAAAAAGGAAAGTGTTTTGTTCTAAGATTTACCCTTAAACAAGGATCAAAAGCATACATGTCTTAAAAGATCCATTTATCAAGTTATTTTGTAATCATTCCGAGGAAGCTTCATAGAAGAAATCAAGCTTATTGCTTTTTTTCTAGAATATATTTTTAGGTTCCTGAAATTACCTATAAGTAAATAGATCTTTATTTGTTTTTTAAAAAACATTTTTATTGATTTCAGAGAGGAAGGGGGAAGGAGAGAGAGAAACATCAATGATGAGAGAATTATTGATTGGCTGCCTCCTGCTCATATCCCCTATTGGGGATTGAGCTTGCAACACGGGCATGTGCTCCCACTGGGAATTGAACCATGACCTTCTTGTTCATAGATTAATGCTCAACCACTGAGCAATACCAGCCAGGCCATAGATCTTTATTCCAAAGAGACTTCATGGAAGAAATAAGATTTGGTTAAGCTCCTTCTTTCCCTACATAAACTGCATTAGTGGTTCTTGAAACAAACAGATTACTAGGTTACACAATCTTGGTAACTTTAATAAAATGAACTTTCAATTTCTTTTCTTATTTTGATGTCAGCACCTCCACCCTGACTCCTGTTATGGAACATGATCGCCTGCACATTTTAGTTTTTCTCATTGCCATCAATTACCTGGCCAAGCAGTACTATTGATTTATTTTTGTATCTTCTGTGTGATAGTTCACTGGACACTGTAGCACTCATATGGTCACCTGGTGACTTTGAAGTGGCACAGTGACTCTTGCCTTCATTTATTCTCTTTTCCTTTTCTCATGTAATAGCGGCTGTCGATTCAACAGACCGAAGTCCTCGGCCCACTTCTGCACCAGCCATTGCTCAGAGTCAGGTCACAGAAGGCAGTGTGCCAGGTGCACCTGCCAAAAAAACACAGAAGGAAACAGTGAAGGTTGAAGAGAAAAAGGAAGAAGTGCCACCTGAGCAAGCTGAGTCAGAGGCCACAGAAGTGTGGAAGGTATGTCGTAAGTTCACGTATCTGGCAAATTAACTTTCCGAGTTGACCAGGAAGGTTTTCAACGCATTAATTCTTATAGAATCCTAACAAAGTTATTCTCCTTTACTCTTTCTTCGAGAAAATATTCCATGAACCTGTAAAATGTTTTCATAGAATTATGTCATGAAGACTGTGAACTATTCAGAAGTTTTCACATGCCCCAACCTTAACTCAGCTTTATCTAAATAATAATAATAATAATAATAATAATGATAATAGTGTTTATAAAGCATGGAAGCACTGTGATCATCTGCTTTTAAAAATGTTTTACTCATCCAAAAGAATATCCATATTCCTTTTAAAGAGTAAGTGTAGTGTGATAAAAATATTGTACAATTTGATTTCCCTAAGTTGAATATGTGTGCAGCATAGTAAGAGAATATAAAGGTATTACATAAATTGCATCTATGTGGTTGTTGCTTTCCAAAAAGGGGAAGATCCAGTATGTGGGAGAGGTTATGCTACTGAGTTAATTATAGTTTTGAATTGATTGTACCCTTAGTCACCAAACCATATTGAAAAATTACCAATTTAATTAGCAGATATTCCAGGAGTAACAGTAACTGGACTGATCTTTTATGTGTTGATAAGTGGTGATGGAGTTGAGGTACTAGTTCAGATTTATTGACGTAAATACAAGTCTTTCTTTTGACAACAGAAATTAATAGACTCAGTCTTTATAAGAAAAATGATGTCTTTATATGTCTGTTTAGAAATTTAAAACTACATAAGACCTGAGTAAGTGCTCTCACTTTGGCAGATGGATTAATTCTGTACTTTTGGAATCAGTTCAACATCTAGTTTATCTGTAGAGCAGCAGGCAAGTTGGCTCTGTGTTGATGGTATTAAAAAGAAACTGTCCAATACCACACGCAGTTTTTACTGTCCTTTGCGACCAACTTGAGTCCACAGAGAAAACAAAAAACATTTGATTGACTGATGGGTGTTTGCATTTTTGTACCAGCCAAATGTGCATGACATCAGCCATCCAGTTCAATGTCAACAGTGCCTTTTTCATGTTAGGCTGCCCAGTGTAAAGTTAGGATGTCTTACCTGGCACTTCTGTTATACTAACTGGAAAATGTTGGATTACTGGAGTTGGCAAGGAAATCTTTTTGATTGACAAAGATTCCTTTGCCTATAAGCTGACGTAAGCATCTTCAAGAAAGGTTCCCTTTGCTCTTGAGACCTCAGCAGAGTAGAGAGATTGCTTTCTGGTATATGGTCCCCATTTAAGTGCCTCAAAGGGATCTTCTTGCCAATTAATTCTGTATATTATTGTTTTGAGATACTTGTGTTGAGATTAGACTGAAAACTACCTGTTATAGCCACCTATTACTATAATATAGTACAGAATTGAGGGTGACTCTAAGTTGATTTTATTTGCAGCAGTTAGAAAATAACTATGGAATTGCCTTGAGTCATATTTTTTTACTTGGGCCATATTTTTTATATAAAACAATAGCAGTAATAAAATAGTCTTGTAGCAGTGTAAATTTCACTAGCTAACACTAATTTGGTGCCAGATAGAACTCTTTGGCATCTTGAGTCATTTGACAAGATCTGTTTTGCAGATGTGTACATCTTGTCTTTTAAGGTCCTCTGTGGGGGCATACACAGAACTACTGCTGCTACTTGGCCTCCATTCTTAGACTGAAGTAGAGGCTCTCAGTTTCTGCTGTTGGATTGCTAGGAACCCAAAGCAAAAATATCATTATTCATTTACAAGTAATTGAAGCTTTACAAAATAATTAAAAATTACCATTTGCTAGACATTCACAAGTCTATGAAAATATCATTTCCACTTTATCATAAAAAACTTAAACTCAGAAAGGTGAAATAACTTGCTAATGGCCACATAGCCAGTATACTAGGATTCAGAATAGAACTGACCCAAATTGTTAATTACCCTTGGTAATTAAAAGTGCTATTATGGATATGTTTCTGATTTGACAGAGTCACAAGGTTTGGTGTTATCTTGTTCTTCAGTCAGTCCTAGAGAAAAATAGCACAATGACATTGTACACTGAAGTTATGCTGCCAAGTGTGACTAAAAATAAACCCTCTGATCGATTTGGTTCTTTAAAGAACTTAATGATGCAAAGTGACTGAGTTAACCCTTAATAAAAACAGTTTTCTAATTTTGAGATATCCAGTGCATTAGGCATTGCTCACTTTATTGTGCTTTCTCTTAATAGTCTGTCTAGTGTTTATTTATTTATACTTACTCCATTTGGGGTATATTAAATGGCTATTACTAAAGGAATTTCAAAGCTAGGCAGAAGGCCTTAGTTATTCTCTTCCTAGTATTAAAGATGAATCTTACCCATCACCAAACACATGGGCTCCAACTGCCTAGAGAGGTGATTACAGAATGTTGAATACTGCGCCTGAGCCCTGTGTTCTCATTTATAAATCAGCCTTAGTAATAATTGCATGCATCAGTAACAGTTTGGATTAAGTTTATTTTGTTGTTTTGTTGTCTAAAAACTCGGGAGTAAAACTGTCTCCTTAAATATATTGGCCAATTAACAAAATGTCTGATATTTACCTGCTTGGTGTTATATATGTGCTTTAACTGCAAAGATTTTCTTTTTGTTTCTAACTACCATGTATGTCATACATTGATATCTTCGTTTGTAAATTTGTTTTTAAATGTTATTTAAGGTACCTCTAGATCATTAAAAAGCAAAACAAAAAACATATGGCTTTTTTAAGCCTAATTATTTTTAATACGTACTTTTTTATAAATAAGTATAAATTGTTCATCAGTAAAATAATTACCTTCATTTTCTTTTTTGGTCACTTGGCTGTCCATATTACCTCTTCAGCCTTGGAAATGTGAACTAACAGATTGCCCTTGAGAGTAATGACGACCTCCCTTCCCCCCAAAGGCTTCACCATGATGATTACATATCAGCTTATTTTACAACCAGCTTACAGATGTGGCTTTTTTTTTTTTTAAACAATGCTATTCATAGGAACCAACTAACCTAAAATGTTTTTAACCACTTCATTTCTCAAATGTAGGGGGAAAAAACCCACATCGAGGTCACAGTACCCACCTCAAATGGTGACCAAACACAGGTTTGTGCCAGTAGGCCACTTGTTCCTTTCCCCCTCCCTCCTCAACTTTTATTTCTCCCCAACTCCCCTCTCCTTAAAAAAATTAAATTAAATTAAGGTTCCAACTAACTTTAATGAGCCAATATTTTATCATTTTTCTTTCTTTTTTTAATAATGGCAAAACAGAAGCTTGCAGAAAAAACTGAAGATCTGATAAGAATGAGGAAGGTTAGCCATTTTTTACTTTCACAAAATTACATTAGCATCACCCATGCTGACTTTCATAGTGCATTAAAAAGACAGTGATCCATTCTTTTCATTGATTTCTCTTAATCAGAAATTACTTTCAAGTAGAGATAGATGTATATATATATGCATATATGCGCACGCACAATACAAAAGACATTATAATCCTATACTATAATTTAAAAATTTCATTAAAATAAATTTTCCAGTATAAAAATATCTTTTGAAACACAGTAAAATAATTAGTAAAGGCCAAGCCTATCCTTTATTAAACTTTATAAAAATATTTCACAGTGGCGCCATATTCTTAAAATCATTGACAATATTTTATACATATTTATTATGGAAACCATCATAGCATTTCCCTGTACTGTTAATAACTGGGCTTGACTGCTCAGTCCCTCTTTCTTCCCAATTATAGAGTGAGATGAATCAGTTTCTACTGACTACAATATTGAATGATCATATATAAAATGCCATAGATCTTTCTTATGAAAAGTATTAGAGATGTACATACTGCATTATGACTATGTATGAAATATCAAAAAATTAAATAATGTTTTTTAAAATATACTTCTTTATTGATTTCAGAGAGGAAGAGTGAAGAAGAGAGAGATAGGAACATCAATGATGAGAGAGAATCATTGATGGCTGCCTCCTGCACATCCCCTTTTGGGGGTCAAGTCCGCAACCCAGGCATATGCCCTTGGCCGGAATCGAACCTGGGACCCTTCAGTCCACAGGCCAGTGCTCCATCCATTGAGCCAAATAGGTTAGGGCTAAATAATGTTTTAAAGTATTTATCTACTCCAGAGATACAGGAAGGAACATGGAGTTTTAAAGCTTCTTAAAATCATGTGTTAAGATAACCCCTCAAACAGCTCAATTTCAAAAATGAACATAAAACATCTTACAATATAAGAAGCCAATGAAGCCAGGAGCACTGTCTGTTTAAATAACATCATCACATTCTTCCATCGTTCATGAACAAGGTCATCCATTTCCCAGTGGTAATGGTGTTCTCTGTGTGTCCTTGTGGTTCTGTGACCATTTCATGTTGGCTTTGCTGCGCTGTGGACATTTAATTTTAAACAATTTTTGATTTGCCAATTTGCAGTTTTTCCCCCGCAAGAACAATGTTTTAATTTTTTATGCTTTTCTGTTTTCCCCCTCTTTCATTTTCACAGAAAAAGAGAGAGAGACTAGATGGTGAAAACATTTATATCAGACATAGCAATTTAATGTTGGAGGTTTGTATGAACTTGAAGCTTATTTCATTTGGTTGCCTGTAACCTTCTGCATTCTTTGCTGATGCCCCTTTCTTCTTTCTGTGCTGCGTTTGGTTTTGCATGCCATTGCATGGGAGAACTTTAGGTTTAAAATGCTTTTGCATGTTGGTAAACATGAAGATATGTAACCGTCTCACCTGATTCTTTTTAGTTTCCATCTCTCATACTTATCTAAAAAATATATGATTGGGACTTCCTTTGCCTCTTGTGGTTCCATTGTTTTACCCACTTTTAGAAAATTCTGCATCTCTGTTAAAAAAAAATTCATTGAATTTTCGAAGAGTATAAAACTACTACATATCCCAAGCATCACTTTTTTTTTTTTTTTATGTTCTGAAATGAGTTTGGGAAAGTAAGAGAAATTACCACAATTTAAAATGGGCTTAAAATTTTGGAGATACCAAAAAAATTATGGAAGGACAGTCAGAGGGAAAGAAAAATAAGACACGGAAAGGAAAGAAGGGATTCTAGAATTTAATGAGTAGTTAGTATGACCTAAGATGGTTTAATCATAAAAACTGTTATGTGGGTATGAGATTAGTATTTTAAAGATGAGAACATTGAAGCTTAGAGAAATTAAGTAATTTCCCTATAGTCATAGAACTAGTAAATTGGTAAAGCAAGGTTTGAGGTAGGGCCTGTCTAACTCGATTACACTACTTTTCCCCCTACTAAGAAATAGCAACATACCGTCGACTATAGCAATGGTAAGGTCATTTTCCCATTTCAGTCAACATTGGTGAGAATTTTATCAGAGTTATGTTGCATACTTCATCTAGTTTTGGGCTCCATATTGGATAGGGATACAAAGTTAATTATAAGATTTGGGGAACTCTGAACAAAAATTAAGGAAATGAATTATTCTGTGTGGAGAAAAAACTGAGGCTATGTTAGTTTACACATAAAAAAACTCATATAGGGAGGGGGGGAAAATAAAAATAAAACTCATATAAAAGTTGATGACCAAATTATTTTACAACTTAACAGGGTGAAAAGAAACAACCACCAACTCTGATATCAGGGATTTAACTTAGCTGTAAAGGAAATATAAATATACAGGAAGATGATGAACATGGTTTCAGCCTTCAGAAAGCTTACAGGGTGAGGAAGTGGAGAGCAGAGAAAAAAATAAGTAAACAAATAGTAATAAAATGGTTACACGTTGTTATAAAACGATGAAAGAAATAAACCATATCTGTGCTAATAAAAGGATCTACTGTGAATAAGATGGATAGGAAAGTTCTCTCTCTGAAGAGAACATTTTAGCTGAGACCTGAAAGATGAACATGTATTAAATGTGGTCAGTAATTAATCTGAAAGATTAAAGAAACTTTTTAGGATAGATTCCTGATTTAATGGTCTCTAATAATTAAGCTCATCTTATTCTTTGTCAAAACTTAAATTTTGAGTGTCTGCTAAGTATAAGGTAGTTTAATGAAAGTAACACAAGTTATGGCCAGCCTTCATTGATCATGTACTATGTAATGGGCACAATATCAAGTGCTCTACATACATTTACCTCATGTAGCATGAGGTTTTCCAAGGCTAGACCCTAGGATATTTCAAGCATGGCAACTAGATCTCTTTGCTTTAGCCCATGACTGAAACTAGACCTGAATGGTTCCTCTTCTGAGATTAGGAAAAATAACTAATATCAGTTGATCTCCTTGAACTCAGCAATAGAATGTCTCCTAATTCCAAACATGCCGATTTCTTGGCTTCCTCTTAACTGGAACCTGCAGTACCAATCATATATTTGTCATTTGTTTCATGAGGTGTGTTATGGCTTCTGAGACTCATAAAGTCCCTGTGTGTGGTGTGTTTTTCCCCAGCATTTCATTGACAGCCATGAGAGGGGATTTCTAATAAGTGTGTGTTTGAAAATTAAAACTACTAACTACCTTTTGAGAATATTTTATATTTAATAAAATGTTTGGTTTGATTGCTGCTAAAATTAAAATATGATAGGCATCAAAAAGTGTCTAACCTGAAAACGGCTGAAGTAATTTGGCTAACCATCACTCTCTAGTTATTGTAAAAGTTTGGGTGTTTTTTTTTTTTCTTCTAAGGAAATTCTCTCAAGTTATCTGTCACTCTAGCAGTTTGGTGTGTTTTTTTTAAGCATCCCTCCTCCCTCTACTCCTACCCCACCCCCACTAATGCTTTGTTCTGGCACAAATAAGGTTGGGTTAATTTTTAGATGTACCACCTCCTACTCCTCCATCTCCCAGAGGGAACCTGAAGCAAGTGTCTGTGACAAATTCTATTTGGAGCAGGTCCCTTTGAGCTCTTAATTTTACTCTGTGCCCCTACAGCTTCCAACAGAGCAAGCTAAGAAGGATGGAGAAAGCTCCCCCAGAAGCTACTGATGTTATTGAAACATTTATTTTCTTAGGTTCCAAGCTAGAGAAAAGCTAGGCAAGAAGAGTAACAATCTCAGGTGTTAAAACCTAGAGAGTCATGGTTTTACCTTAGTGTATCTTGCTCATTTATATTTTGCTCCATTCATTCTTTTAACTCTCTCCAAAATGTTCTTGGCCCAAGCAGATTTAATTTCCAGGCGGCAGCTGGGTCACAGGTCCTTACATGACTGGTGGGTCTCAGATGCTCAGCCTACTACTGAGCTTGTTCATGCCTTTTCTTTAGCTAGTAAACATGTTTTTCTTGCTCTCACATAGAACAAAAGTGCAAACTGTTGTTTCCCCATAGTGCAGCCCATGTTCATGAGCTGTACTGGCACTTCATCTCAGAAAGCAAGAGGTACTCTTATGGGGGAGCTACAGGATTGCCCTTTTGGGGTTAGTTTTCTCTTTGAATGACCTCAAATCAAATATACGTGGTTCATTCTTGCAAAAATAAAGAGCATAGAATACTAACTGAACTCTCTGAATGAATATCTCCAGAATCAAAATAGTGTCCTGTGCCTTACTGATTCTTTTTTCCTAAGCTGTTTTTGTTATTTTCCCTTTGACATTGCATTTGAAAAATATCTAATTTAGTTGAAGCCTAAATTGCTGCAGAAAAAAAAAACTTTTAAAACAAATTTCTATTTCAATGAGTTCCAATTTTTTTCCCCCAAATGAGGCTGTTCCCCACAAGAGTAAAAAAATAAAAATAAAAATAAAAAAAATCCCAAAATTCACATGGCGTATTAGGAGATATATTTAGTGTTATGCTTTTCTTGGATACAGAGCTGCCTTGATATAACAAACACAGAATTTTCAGCAGTCATCAAGTGACAGGCTCCCACATATTTTGATCTCAAGTATAAATCTTTTGAGTTTTTTCAGAGAAGTAATTTGGACAAAGAACATTTGAGTTTTTGTATGCAAGTTGTAATTTCTCAGGTTATTTCTATCCAAATCTCCCTTTTGAAAGTTGTTATATACCTCCCATTACATAAACCTAAATCTCATTATTACAAGCTTTACTAACCTTAGTTTTGATAATTTCTCACTGGAATATACCTTCTAAGTGCCTACCCCTAGTTGTCCAGTATATGTATCTGTTGGGACAGCTGAGGTATTTTAAATAGCCAAGGAAGTATATAAATTATTTTATGAACTCTTGTTAAATCACTCCCAATTTATTGATGTGTAGTATAAGAAGGCCACTATTTTTAAATATATATATTTTATTGATTTTTTACTGAGAGGAAGTGAGAGGGATAGAGAGTTAGAAACATCGATGAGAGAATCATCGATTAGCTGCCTCTTGCACACCCCCTACTGGGGATGTGCCTGCAACTAAGGTACATGCCCTTGACCGGAATCGAACCCAGGACGTTTCAGTCCGCAGGCCGACGCTCTATCCACTGAGCCAAACCGGTTTCGGCAAGGCCCCTACTTTTAATTGTACTAAGGCAGCGGTCAGCCAACCGCAGCTCACGAGCCACATGCAGCTCTTTGGCCCCTTGAGTGTGGCTTGGCGTTAGAACCACTTCTTCAAAATAGGCTCGCCCAGGCCGAAAACTGACTGCTGCGAGTGGCCACGACGTTTTAATCGCATTGTTCGCGCGCGCCCGCACGTAGTATTTCGTGGAAGAGCCACACTCAAGGGGCCAGAGAGCCGCATGTGGCTCGTGAGCCGCAGTTTGCTGACCACTGTACTAAGGAAGAAGTGAAGCTGTTAGAGGTTGGAAAGCAGAGGCCTTTGAGTTTGTATAAATAGTATTGGCAAAGAAAAAAAGCCATTATATGACATATACCCCTGAGTAAATAGTCAGAGATAGTAACCACTTGCTCTGGAGGCTTGAGCCTGGAATTTCAGTAACTTTTTTTTTTTTTTTTTTTTAAATCTTGGAGCCAATCACTTTCTCACAGAGGGATAGTCTTTTTCTTTTAATTATAGTTTATATACAATATTATATTAGTTTTAGGTGTATAACATAGAGAATCAACATTTATATATTAGTAATAAATTCTTATATCAAGAATGGACTATTCTTGTTAACTAAAAACCAACAACAGCCACTAAATAATAGGGAAGCAAAACTACCTCTAGGTAAAAATAGAGAATATTGTACAGTTGCAACTCACCAATGCAAGGCAGCCAGTGATGGAAACTGAATCTTTCACCATGTCCTTCACTGAACAGTTTCTCCTTGTCTTTTGCTATCTCCATCCTGCCTGAGCTGAGCCTAAATCAGTTTCTATCAAGCTGAGGCTAATTGAGTTGTGTGGTTACCTTCTTGGGATGAGGAGTTGGAGATCAAGCACTGTGTCATAATTGGAAGAGAGTTGTAAAATTGAGTGAGTTTCTAATGGCTCATATAACTGCTAAAAGCTATGGGGTTTTGATGCTTCACTGCTTCCAAGAAAAGCACCTTGTTGGGGGGGGGGAAAGGCAAGCAATTATGCCGTGTTGTATATTTACAATTTGAATGCAATTTATGGGTTAGTTATATCTATCCCTGGATGTGGTGTGTTTTCTGCCAGTGCCCATAAGCTGTGATGGGCTTCCCTTGTATGTTTTTTTTTTCTCTGAGTACTTATTGTTTTGCATCTTTGCCCTTCCAACTATAGGATTTAGACAAAAGTCAAGAAGAGATAAAAAAACATCATGCCAGCATCAGTGAACTGAAAAAGAACTTCATGGAATCTGTACCTGAACCACGGCCTAGTGAGTGGGATAAACGCTTATCCACTCACTCCCCATTCCGAACACTTAACATCAATGGCCAAATCCCGACAGGAGAAGGAGTGAGTACTTTATTCAAGTGACCAATTATGAGAATTAGTGAAATAATTGTTTTTTATATTCATATTCTGTAACTGAGAGAAAGTTTAGAGCTGAAGTTTAGCTTTGGTATCTCACAAGTTCATTACAGCTTTTAAGTCATTCATAATCAAACACTTGTTAATTTTTAAGTAATTTGGACTACCCAGTCTAATTAAGGGAGCCACTTAGAGCTACCAGTAGATGATTAGGGTCTGAGAACTCTCTCTGTAGCTGCATATGTGTTTACAAATTGACCATAAGCCAATGGAACTTTATGTTCAAACTGTGCCTTCAGGGACCAGAGAGTACACTAAATTTAGGAAGGTCAAATTTAGAAAGGAATAAGCATTCTTTAAAAACTTTATTTGAACATTTGAATAACTTAGAAATGTCTGGAATGGTTGGCCACAATTATATAATAAACCTAGGAGGCCCCTAAGCCAGCGAATGCAGAATACCAAGTATCAAATGATTGTATTTCGATTTTAGAAAAACTGTTGATGATTTATTTTATTTTTATGAGAAACATCAAACTTTTAATACACTGCTTTATAACATAGTCACAATTAGAAGAACCAGAGATATTTTCTAGGAGCTATTCTTTTTCGTTATTGTTGTCATTCCTATTGTAGAAATTCTAGACCCAAATAAATGAATCTGTGTAATGAAAATGTCTAAAAGTTACTTTGAGCATATATTCAAAAATTCTTTACTTAATCTTTAGCCTGCGGGGCTACTATTTATAAAATAGTCACAATGACTTGCTGAGTGACTGTAATGATTTTTAAATTACACGCTTGTTTCCACCCTTTCCCCCAAAGCAATAGCAATTCTAGTTAAGAAAGGCAAAGTGGTAAGATATGTACACATATAACACCTTAATAAAAAATGAAAAGAAAAAAAGATAAAGTGATATTTTAATAATTTTTTTAAAATTCTTTTATATTCAGAATTTAGGATAAACTGTCCAACTTACTTAGTTTCTGGAACTGGAGAAGATAGTAAAAGTTAGTTTACAAAGGATACTTTCTATATTTCTCAAAATGTGATTAAAATTGGCTAGTGATTTTTCTAAATGGAGTCAAACCAGTTTCACTGAGTAAGGGTGGAAAAATCCTGAACATGGGCAGCTTAGTAGAGTTACCAGGATGTAGGATGCAGTTCCTGTTCACTGTCTTCTCGGCCTCCATGCCCCGATATACATGGACATAGTTTGGTATTCTAAATCTAGCAAATGTCCTCTGAACTGACTTTTTTCTCGTGGACAAGATGCTTTTCTATCTTGCCTGGTAACTGCATATTTTCCAGAAGTTTTCTTTTTGACTTTGTGCAAATAATAAAAGATGCTCAACTACTTTGGAAAAAGTAAACCATATTCTCTTGGTTGAAGTTTGGTAAATTTGAATCCGTCTCCATTTCCAGAAAGTATCTTATACCTTAATAGAAGCCCTTCAGAAACCATCTCAGGACTGGTTTGGGGAATGGCTATGTCATTCTGTAGACTTTAAAGAAGTAACTCTTTATAAATTAAATTACATAATTGGGGATAGTTTTGTGAAACTTTAGCTCTATGTTTATATATATTATCCATCTAAATGAATAATGGAATAAATAAGAACTGTACTGTGATAACCTTTTATATAGGATGACTCCATTTTCTGGCATATCTTACTTTTTCTATAATAATTAGGACAATATTTCTGTTTTCTGGGGATACCTCTTCCACCTTTGACAGCATTGTTGTTGCATTGCAAAGCAACTGAATTTTTATAATTTGTGTGTGACCAGGTGAAGAAAACCTCTATCCTTCCCTCGGAAAGAAAGGTTGGTGGGCCAGAGGTAAAGCTGCTGTTACTTGTGCTTCTCAATCACAATTTGCTCTTGTCATGGCACTAAGCAGATAATGCCCCAGAACTGAACAGCAGCTGCTGAGTAATTTTTTTCTTCTTTTGGCTATACTAGTAAATTCACACCCACCACCTTTTGACCTAACACATAACACTTCCACTGCTGCACCTTTTGCAGCTTTCAAATTGCTTATGTTGGCGCATGGCTGTTGAAAAGCTGCATGCAGATGTAAATATGTATTCAGAGAGAAAATGAATTTAATTGTACCCTATTCTTTTTATGTTGTCTTTCTTCTCCCTTTGTTTTTCTGTTAAAAATCATTTTTATAATTTTGCATCCTTTCTTTTCCTTTTTTCTTTTTTTGCTGACCAGTCCCCCAGCTACTTTCTCCCTGATACATATCGCTTAGGGGTGTGCAAAGAACCAGTGTCGCCCTTCCAAACTGATCCGAGGAGGCTGGCTCAACTGAGAGAACTTAGAGCCAAGTTTTTCCTTTCATAGATAACATCTATTTTGACTGGATGGCAGAGTACAGAAATCTGGGCGGTGGGGTGGGGGTGTTTGAGAAAAACTTAACAATTGGACAATTGTAAAAAACAAACAAACTAACTTTCCTTAAAAGTATCAAAAGTATTTGTCTAATGTGATGTCTAAACCTTTGTGGTGGTCATTATTATTTATTTTTAATCATAATTTTAAGAGAGAGGGGAAGGTAGTTTATAATTGTTAAAATTTTGGGGGTTTGGGTTGGGGTTTTTTTGTGGGGTTGTTTTTTGTTTTGTTTTGTTTTTTGATAGACCTTGGAGGCACATATAAAATTTTATACTTTTTTTCTTTGCAATCTTTAAAATATATAAGATTAAGGTTTTTATTCCCTTGAGCAAAAGCTAATTGCCATATTGGATGAACTGTTTGTTTTTAAAATCTATATGAGGAAATATGAGGATAACTTTATATTCTGCCATTCTATTTGTAATAAAGGTAACTTTTCTGATGGCAAGAAGAATGCTTCATTATTGGTTTTGCCCAATTGACCTAAGAAAAATTGACAGCACCAAAACAATGAAAAGTGACCCAAAATTCTTATGTGAATATCCTCAAAGGAGGAATAAATGCTAAGGAAGTCCAGTGATTCCTTGAATTGTCAGGACTTCTAGTGTTCAAAAAAGTTATCTTTGAGTATTGTGCTGTAAAAACTTTGCCAGGATAAGTTGCCAAAGTAAAATAGAGTGTCCAAAAGATCTTCCCAAATCCTTTGCACATCCCCAAGTATCATTTTTAAGCATTTTCCATCTGTCATTTTGTTCATCTTTCTCTGTCTTTCTTGATCTTCTACCGTGAAAGCAGACACAGGAACGTGCTCTGTTAGTACAGGGTGAAGAGAAAATTAAAAGGCAAGAGAGATCTACTGAAAGAGCTTTGCCCCAGCAAGAAAATGAAGAAGTTCTTCCCAAGGTTTCTATTCCAATCCCTGAGGATCACAAGTCTTTCAAAAAGTGCCACCTCTACCTTAATACTTTTCCCTCTCCTCGTTTTCCTTTCATGATGTCGTTTCTCGTGGTTCTTGCATTGGCGGTTTGGTGGTTGGTCTTTCTGTGATTGGAAAACAGGGTGCTCATCTGAAATGTCAAGACTAAAACTGTCGAACTTTTCGCTTCTACTGTATGATGCCCTGTGCTCTTGATAGCTCGCTGTCCTTGATAGCTTTTGTGATCATTTTTCTGTCGATAAAATGTTACTCTTTTTAGACTATGCATTATGGGTACAAAGGAGTAGGAATGGATTGCCCAAGTCAGCTTTCTTCACTGAAGTGAACAAGTTTAGACTAATCAGATTTAAGCATATGGCAGGTTGGTACTTTCTCCAAAAGCTTTTGCTCTTTTATCCTGCATGTTTTTATTACTTATTGTTGCTATGTCCTCCTCTCCAATGTTTCACACAAAACAAGATTCTCTGTAGAAACATTCAGTGGAATATTTTCCTAATCTTTCATAGTCATTTGTGTGGCACAGGCTCTGTAGTTTAAGAAAAAATTCAACTTGCTAACCTTTCAAAAGCCTTAAAATGACACATTTTAATCTATGAATCCAAAACCACTCCTTTTCTTGGTATATCAAACTAGTATATACAAAGGCCCTTTTTTGAAAAGGGCTTTTGACTTCTGTGGCCTTCCTAATGTGTGTTTCTGAGATGTACAGGGACAAACAACTTCATCCTGTCTGGTGTAGAGAAGAGTTCTGCAAAGGTTAAATGCCATTTTTTCACAAAATAAATGTTGACGGTTTAAGGAAAATGGTGCTGGTATCCCTTAGCCTCCAGCCAGGACTGAATTTCCCACACTACTCTACCCATCTTTAGAAGTCCTGTAATACAGGTTTATTCAAGATCTGTACATAAACATAGTCTTCTGAATTAAAATACTGTGTTCGTCTTTCTGACTTAAGTAATTATATTGCTGGAAACATAACTTAGTCATGTGGTAAGCTTAAAATATACATTGATATATTTTGTTTTCTTGGCACACTTTAAACATGTTTGTTCTTACGTTTGTGTTGAAATCAATTTTTTGAATTGATTACCTTGTAAACTATAAAATTATTTCGTGACAAGTGTGTCCTCTGTTTGCATGATGATTTTTAAGTCTTTTCTGAAGTAAATATGAGTGTGCTCTCTCTTCACAACATAACTCGGATGTCTAACCTGTTACTTTCTATCTTTACTAATGAAGTCTTGCATGTAGCTTGCTTTTTATAGCACTTGAATGTACAGAAATGGGTGATTTGGTTAATGTTGTCTCAAATATTTGTAAGTTTGAGTTCATAGAGTCATCAAATTAGATTATTGCACTTTGTTTTACTCTTTAATGCTTTTCAGGTTGTGAGACCACTAAACAAGACTCTGTTTTTAAGATGATGGCTTCTTAGAGCAAAAACAAAACAAAACAAAGCAGTAAAACCGAGAATCTTTTGTCCTTAAGCATTCATCACTATTATTTTATTGTCTCTGTAGACATGCAGAAATAATTTTCTGGTATTCCTGAAAATGGCTACTCTATCATTATAGGCTTTCCAGAAAAACAAAAACAAACACACACACACACACACACACACACACACAAAGGAAAAAGAAGCAAGGAGCAGGTTAAATTTTTTTTTATTTTTTTTTAATATATATATTTTTTAATTGAGTTTCTACAGAGAGGAAGGGAGAGAGATAGAGAGCTAGAAACGTTGATGAGAGAGAAACATGGACCAGCTGCCTCTTGCACACCCCCTACCAGGGATATGCCCGCAACCAAGGTACCCGCCCTTGACTGGAATTGAACCCGGGACCTTTCAGTCCGCAGACTGATGCTCTATCACTGAGCCAAACTGGTTTCGGCGAGCAGGTTAAATTTAAAAATCTGGTTTAAGTGTGTATTTTTTATGTCAGAGGCTATGTCTGTTTACAACAAATACTTTATAAATAAGCATATTTATTGATTCATTCATAAAAAGAAAAAAAAAGTTAAGTCAACCTGAAATATTGCAAAGCTATTCTCTAACTTAGAAGGTGATCATCATAAATACTCCCCTTTATCTGTGAAACAGAGGTATAAGAGCTTTCCTTATAAAATAAATAAAACTAAAGCATTGGTTTAAATTATTTTTTTCAAGGAACTATAATAGAAAGGAAATAATCTTAGAATTTTATTGATACTTTTATAACTGTTCAGATTATAGTTCTAGTTTTCATTTCTACACACAGCTTTTTATTATTATTGTAAACTTCACCTTGAAATTTTCCCCTTTGTATTAGAGTTATTCCAAATTCATTAAAAGTCTAGTGTAATCCAGTAATACTTTTCAGTTTTATTAAGTGCAATGGGAGTCCTCACAGGTCCTTACTGATGGAGGAGAAGGGCTAAACCTTTATTTGTAATGGACTAAGTTGGCTCAAAAATTATACCCAACACAATTATCAGAGGGAACACATTGGACATTATGGCTTTGTATTACCTAAAATTAATGCTGCTGATTTTGGTAACCTAAATCTGTAAATATAGTTTTGGTTTCTGTCTCATACCTCATTCCATTCTCAGAACCAAAGACAGGTCCAAATAACTGTATTGGTTTTAGACAGGTTCTGTTTCTGTTTACTAGTTTGTTTATTTATGTATTTATGTATGTATGTATGTATGTATGTATGTATGTATGTATTTATTTATTTATTTATTTATTTCAGAGAGGAAAGGAGAGGGTTAGAGAGATAGAAACATTAATGATGAGAAAGAATCATTGGTTGGCTGCCTCTTACTCCCCCTACTGGGGATTGAGCCCACAACCCGGCATGTGCCCTGACCGGGAATCAAACTGTGACCTCCTGGTTAATAGATTGACACTCAACCACTGAACCACACCAGCCTGGCTGGTTCAATTTCTTAATGGCAGGTTGATAAATAAAAAATAATTTGGACTAAAGTTATTAATACAGAGCAGTAAAAAGTCTTGAGTGTTTGCCTTGGTTTTGTTATTTATTTCTAGAGTAACTGAGAGGTTGACTTACTTATGTGGTGCCCAGATTTCCACCTCGTAGTGTAGAGACAAACCTACCTCATGAAAATGAATCTGTAACATGTTCCAGGCACCAGAAGCTCTGGTTATTGTTCAATTCCTGCTCGTTTGGGGACTGGGAAGATGGAAATTAAAAAAACAAACACATGAAAGTAAGAAATTAAATAGCTATGTTTATTTCCATCTACTCCTTATTGGTATTTGAAGAAGTTAAAACTATTAAAACTACTAAAGTTAAAATGTCTTTCCAAATTCATTAAACTCTTAAACAATTCATTTTATCCTTGTAGTATACTTAGAGTGGGCCATACTTGTGTATTAAGCCAGCATCAATATTTCGGACCTATCTTTTAGCCATTTTCTTATGCTAATATGAAGGAGATTCAATTTGCATGGGTGAATTTTACTACTTGTTTACGTTTTTGGTAAAAGTTTTGAAGGGAGACGATGACTCTGTTGACTAACATTAGACTGCAGTTATCTATGAATTAGACTTCCAGATCATCCTACATCCTACTACATGTCTTCCTATTAAATATCATTATAAATTTTACTCTGAAATTTCTGTGAATAAAGCCAGTTCACTTTCTCCTACATTCCTAAGTCACTCTGTAATAAGTATATAGGTGTTAGATTCTCAGTTATTTTTTTTAGAAGTCATTACCAATCAAAATTTATAGTTGGGTTTTACCCTTTCCTTTCAAAAGGAAGTCCTAAAATTCAAAAATAATATAAAATGCTTTTCACTGTTGCTTGTTTTTGCCAAGGGTATTGAGTACTATAGTAAAGATATACAGAACTTCTCTACAGACTTTCTTTCCTTTTTATTCTTTTTTTTTTTTTTTTTGTATATTTTATTGATTTTTCACAGAGAGGAAGAGAGAGGGATAGAGAGTTAGAAACATCGATGAGAGGGAATCATCGATCAGCTGCCTCTTGCACACCCCCTATTGGGGATATGCCCGCAACCAAGGTTCATGACCTTGACTGGAATTGAACCCGGGAACTTCTAGTCCACAGGCCAACGCTCTATCCACTGAGCCAAACCGATTTCGGCCTTTTTATTCTTCTTCATAGAAATTACAAAACCCCAGTCTTCCTCTACACTGTAGTGGATGGTATCAGTAAGTCTGCTCTCACTTCTGCTCCTGTTACCCCTCACACCTTAGGATCTCCTTTGTACTGCAACAGAAAATGATGCAAAAAGAAACACATTGGTGTGGACGTAGGAGTGGGCACCTGAAATGGTTAAGAAGGTATGGTTGTTAGAGTGAAGAAGCCTGGAAAAGGAAGAGATGTGGCTGTGACCAACAATTACAAATTCATGGAGTATTTCATTTCCTAAATGGAATTCCTGTCATACTAGAACTTAAAAGACAAGAAGAAAATAATTTATTGTGTCCATAGATAGGAAATACAGATTGAAAGCTAAACAACTGTCATAATAGCCTAACTCAATGTATAGATGAAAGATTGTTGAGGAAATGCGCTTTAGGAGTGCTTTTCTCATCTTTTGTGATTGATATCCTAGATGGCATCCTCCCCTTTATCATAGTCAGAATTCTGTTTGGGGTAAATAATAGAATAAATCTAACATTTAGAGATTAAAGGAGCTAAGGGAAGCAGAGTCCCAACTATCTTTGTGGGTCCCCCAAAATCAATAAAGGATGCAGTTTAATCTCATTTTCTCCTCTTACTGTCTCTTAAAAAGAGTCTTTCATATGTGTAGGATCCTATCTCAACAAAATGCAGAGGATAAAAGTCAAGGAAAAACATGGTTACTGCTGTCCATTCATTTATTCATGGCCCACTAAGGTAATGAATTGCAGGATTATCAGAATTTTAGGATCCAACTTCTCTCCCCTACAATTCTTGACTGTAGTGCAGTATCATTTATATCATTTATATCATTTAGTATCATTTATATCATTTATATCATTTAGTATCATGTAGAGATTTAGAGACCAGGTGGTCTCCTAGCCTGTGTTTAAATATCTCCTAAAATATTACATCTTTGTAATTACATATTACATCTTTGGACATCTAAGTCATTCTGTCTTCCACATTGTAAGCTCTTTATATAGTTATAAGTAACTCTCATATTGGAATTAGTCATAGTTAATCTCCTCAGATAACTTACCATCTTATATTCAGATCTAAACCAGTCTTCCTCCTCTGCTTTCTTCCTTTCTTTTTTAGTTTTCCTTGTTTTATCGGCTCTTTTCCTTTCTGGCTCTATTGCCCGTAGATTGCTTCCCCATGGTTTATGTAGCTTTATGTTCATACCCTTTGACTTATCCTCTGTAAAAGAACGTTGTGAAATTCCTGTAAATCCCAGCTTCTTCGTAGATAACACAGACACCTGGGATTTATTTATTTATTTTTTTTAGATCAGAGTCGGGGTGGGATGGTTTTATCGCTTTGGAAACTTCTTGTAGCCTAGAATCTGTTGGCAAGATAGTATTACTATTACATTTTGAAGGAACATTCTAAGTTTGCTTGCTTCTCTGACAGACTGACTAATGTTTACATACTTTAACACCCCAAGTGATCTAATAAAATTATGGAAACTTACTTTCTGTTTAACATTCTGATTTAGATCTCCACCAGGAAAAAAAAATTAAAACTTTGAAATGCTGTTAATCCGTATCCTGGTGAGAGGCCTTGTTTTGTTCATCTCTGTTTGCCAGTCTATTACCTCTGTATCTCAGATATATATCAAATAACTGATAATTGTTAAATTGAATTAAATGATTAGTCACAAATGATAATGGATCAACTCTAACTTTTCACTTAGATTCTCCTCTATTTGGACACACTTGTTTGCCAAATTCTTCACCACTGTCTAGTCAGTACCTACAGGTAGCCCAGAAACCCATATACGACCCAGAAGCCACTGTCCCTTGTTAATTCTGTAGTATGGCCCCTGGTTTATTCAAAGAATCTACATATACCTCTGTGGTAGGTGTTAGTCTCTCTAGTAAATGTCTTGTAAT